AAGCACGGTCAGACCGCACTTGAGTTTGAGTCGGAGCCGAAGCGATCAGTAAACAAAGCGTTGTCAAAATAAGTGCACGTCCGCGATGTGCCGCGAGCGACATCGGTTGGTTTCGATTCTCGAGGTGCCGCCCTTTTGAATCGGGGAAAGTGGTTTCGCCGCGACCGGGCGCCCTAACCTCACTTTTCGCCCCGGTCAATCAAAAGAACGTCCTGAAAAATGCAGGACTACGATTCGGTCGAGTCCCTATCCTCGTCCCCCGTGGAAAGTGAGGACCCCCAATTTAGGGTTCTTTCCCCGGAGCCCCCGCGCCCCTGTCCGGTGCAGCCCCTCGTTTTAGATGTACCCTCTCGAGTCGATTCTCCGCCCCTGTCGCCGCAGTTTGATTCCTTGCGTGAGGACCCCCGGATTAATTGCGTGGCCCCCCAACCGTTGCGGCCCCCCTTTGTGTTCGAGGATGAGTTCCAGCCCCACTTGAACGAGCTCGGTAAGCGATTTCGTTCGTGCTGAGTGAGTCATAAAATTAGGATTTTCAGCGATCGAATCATTTTACAACAGTCAGGGTTGCCGCAGTTGGGGCATGCCGGGAATTGTCAGGGAATTTTAAAAAGTCAGTGAAAACCTGGAAATGTCAGGGAAAGTGACGAAAATATCAAGGAAAAATTGGTAATTCACCCTTAGCAGCTTTTTAGAATGCATTCAACGTTTAGAGTAACAAATTTCACCTGAAAACTATTTTAAATTATGTCGTTCTGGCCTTATGGCATATCTACCATTGTTAGGGAGTTTTACTCAAATGTGTCAGAGAAATCAGGGAAATTCGGAGAATTCAACTCAAATATGTCAGGGAATTTCCTTTTCAAAATTTTATGGCTACCCTGAAGTGTTGAGACTTGCTTACCTATTGAATCGTTCGCGTCGAAAAATCATGAAACTGTAAACATGAAAATTGCATTGTCACGGTATCGTTTTGTGCATGTTGTATATTGCATTTACTGATTCAATGGACCCCGTAGGAACCAGGGGAAAATGATCATCAGGACTATTTTCAAGCCAATTTTTGTATTCGTCAATTCAGTGAATCGTTTGTACTGATTTGTCGTCCGTGTAATGGAAATGTCAGTTTACCGAGAAACCTGCACATTTCTCAATGTCATAATTAACGAAATCTAATTGGTGTGATTTGAATTGTTCTCAGATGCGTTGCTAGCGGATTTGCAGAACACGGTGACGGCGCCGGGCTCGAACCACGGACCCCGAGAGAGGAACCTGAGGTCGAATGACTATGCGACCGTGAACAGTCACGCTGACCAGAATAACAAAAAAGTTCAACGATCCAGCTCCTTCAACAACGCACAACCTCAGTCGGTGAGTACCACACGTTTCCCTTTATTTTTGATCGACTGGAAAAAAAAAAAGTTTTACTACACATTTCTTAATTTCCAGAGCAGATTAAATCGAGTAGTTTTAATAAAAATCTAATCCATCTTAAATAGTGTATCTTAGTGACTTCCTACGACTATATATTTGATGAACCATTCAGGAAAAGGGCCTTTGCCAGTCGATGTTGCAGAGACGATGCAACTTCACCGGACCACGCGGGAAAAAAATTAGGTAGCATTTACCATATTCTGGTTAATAAACGGCTTAGCCAGAGAGTATCGTAACTTTCATCCGAATTATTGTGAAAGTAACAAGATTTTGCCTTACTGTGACAATAATTTTGGTGGAAGTTACCATACTGTCTGGTTGTGCCGTTTTTTAACCAGAGTATGGTAAATACTACCTAATTTTTTTTTTCGTTTGATGGAGAATATTCTCCAACAAAGATTCATTCAACCCCGTACAGAATAATTAGGAAAATTACCTCATAAAGTTAGTCTATTTTGAAAAATAAGCTTAAAATTGAAAGCGTCTGATTGGCATAGAATCCCATCAAAAGCTGCTGAATATCAGCAGCGACAAATGCATGTGTCCTTTGTTCTATGTAATGGTCCTTCATAAGGTGTAAAAAGTATTTGCGAAATGTATCAGCTCAGATTCGTGTAATGATGCACGATTACCAAAGTTTTGAGCAATCGTTTCGTTAACAAAACCTTCTCAATCCGAAATTCATAAGTCATTGATCAACAAGTAGCCAATCAATTATCATTTGGCGAGAAATAAATTGAAATTTTGTCTCATTCGATCACATCGCTTGAATTGCGACCGAGGGGTCTCTATAATATCGTTTCTAATTGAAGCTGAAATGATTTAGTATCGCAAATCTTAAGGAAATGATGGCAAACCATCATCACTTGTCGGAACTTTTTGATAGGTGGCCTGGCCATCCTTCGCACAGAAAAGCAAAAGTGCTCATGTCTGCATAGTCTCGCAAAATCAACGGATTTCACCGCGTGACTGGCCGACCTGTTTCGACGGATGAAAGCTGCAGAATATTCCCAAGCGATAATTGAATTGAAACCTTCCTCTGTATGTAAACATAGTGTGTTTTAAACAATCCTCTGTAGAAATAGCTTTAAAAGCCTTCCTCTCGAGTTCATCGGCAGAGCTAATTGTTTACTTACAACTGGTGTTAGTACGACGTTTAGTTTAAATTTTTGGTTTGATTTACTACCGTTCATTCTACCGTTTGCCTTGTGTTCTTCAATCCAAAAGAGATTTTGAGTAACAGAGAACAGGGTTGCAAATTAAAGCCATAGAATTTCAGTAAAAGTTAAGGAATTCCTACTTTTGGTGGTTGGAGGTCCCGAGGAACGTTCAAGAACTATTCTAATTTAAAACATTTTTCGTCACGTTTCTCATTTTGTACTAACCGTCCCCTTTAAATCAGAAATATTTTCAAAATGATTTTAAAATATTTTCAAAATTTTCAGCTATTTTCAAGATCGTTGAAGAAATGTATTTCAAAATCCTTTTAAACATTTACTTGACAATACACATTATCACAAAATATTTTATGTGTATTTTAGAAATTTTCCGACTGTGATCGCTACATTTTAAAATTCCTTTTTGTAAATGCTTAAAACGTCTTTCTGAAACTGTATCATCCTTCATCAACCGTGGATACTGAATTTTTAAAGGAAATTAATATTTATTTAAAAAAAATTAAAATCCTGTTAAACAGGAACCCATAACGATGTGTCTAGAATAAATTTAAAATATTTTTGAAATATATCCGGCATTATTGGAAAGGTTATGTGGACCGCGTTCAGCAGAAAGGAGCCAAGCCGCATCGGTCATTGCCAAATTTAACTGGGCAATTTAATTTTTTACTAGAAAACGTTTGTGCGGATTCCTTAAATTTTAAGAAATTCGCTTCGTACTATGTAGAAAATTTACTGAACTTCGCACAAAAATTAGCACAACCGTTTTCATGTAAAAAATTAAATTGTCCAATTAAATTTGGCAATCGCTGATGTGGCTTGGTTCAGTTTAAACTGGTCCATTAAAAAAAAAAAAAAAAAAAAAAAAAAAAAAA